GGAAGAAGAAAGAGGCGAGGGAGGAGAAAGGAAGGAGGGAGAAGAGAAAGCGGAGGTTGGTGAGGAAGAAGACAGCAGCCATAGTCGGGCGAACTGTTGACCGGAGTTGACCGTAGTTGACCGTAGTTGACAGGAGTTGACTGGAAGTTGACCGCGAGTTGATCGGAGTTGACCGGGAGTTGACCCGAAGTTGATCGGGAGTTGACCGGGAGTTGACCGGGAGTTGACCGGGAGTTGACCGGGAGTTGACCGCAGTGTTGACCAAGGTGTAGACCAGCGTTGACTAAGTGTTGACCAAGCGTTGACCGGAGCTGCTGACCGTCAGATTGACCAAGCTGGAGTTGGTATATTCTTGCCAAGCCTTCAGCCTATCCCCTCACCCTGTACACACACCCTGTGGTACTTGTTGAGTCTATCTGTCTCTTCTTTCTGCATCGAGTCTCTTCTGTCCAGGTGTAGGAACTCTGTGTATGAAGGATAGGGCCTTGTTGACCAAACCCACACGGGGTGAGTAGGGCTAAAAACTGTGTTTGGCGACTTGACTGTCCCGGAGGACACGGACCTCCCAAGGACCGGTACTGACCGGCGGGCTGCTTGGTGTGGCACGGTAGGCCCAAAATCCGAGCTGTGGGCTGCACAACAGGCCGTCTAAGTCTTGAGAGGACTTGCTGATCGCGTCGTCCTGTCTGCGACGTTAAATAATTCTTGAGGAGTTACGGGGGACCTCCTTAAATGCCTCCTGATCAGCAGTGATTCCTGTAGTGACGACCATAGTTTAGGTCTAGGCTAGTGACCCTAGTTGACGAGATCCTATCCGGATTCTGTGGTCAATAGATTGAGTCAGTTAGGTTGTGTCAGTCAAGGGGTAGAAGTCTAAGTGGTGAGGAGTGGAACTACTGTCCAGTTGTGCACCTGACACCATGGTTGACACCCGTAGTGGGAAGAGCACTACCCCCTACACCCAGGCTCAAGAGTAGCAAGCCGCCGTCATTTTAAGAGAGAGAAAAGAGAAGAGGGAGAAGGAGCTCCTTAAGCAGGCGAAGATAATAGCGTAGGAGCATACGGCGAACAAGAAAAAGTTGGAGGAGGAGATGAAAAGAATTTAACAGGAGGAGGAAGAGAAGATGAGGGCTGCAGTAGAAGAGGAAGAGATAGCGGAGGAGGATGGGAGAAAGAGGAGAGAGCAGTGGCACGAAACAGGATGACCTGTGGGTGGAGAAGAAGATATCAGAATGGGTGGCTAATTTGGGAGAAGATGAGGAGGTGATGCTGTATGTGCCTCAGGAGGAGAAGGAAGCAGCAGCAAGGGAGATCGAAGCAGCGAGTGATCCCCTGGAACGCCACACGATAGAAAATGAGAAAAAGTTGGAGTGGAAATTACGTCTGGCGAGGGAGAAGAAGAGGAGGATGGATGAGGCTAACCGGATGGCCAGGGAAGTTGAAAGCTTGCAATCATGTAGGCAAGAGGTAGAGGCCCAGCCTGATATACAGGCTAAATTGGACAAGATATTGGAAGCATTGAGCTCCTAGGCCGTGCCTGGACTGAACATCATCAGTCTGTTAGGGGCCAAGACATGGCCCTCCATTCCATCCAAACTGGGTTTCGGGAGTTTGCGCGCGACGTGGTGACTCACGTTGGGACCGAAGTGAGGAGACTGAAGGAAGGCGCAAATAAATTTTGTGCAGGCGCCATTGAGGGCGCCAAAGTAGTAGTCGCGTCAGAAAGTGAGGGCCGTACCCGCAAAGAGCCTGTTAAACTCAAGTTTCCTGACTCTTATGGCGGGAAAAAGGAGGAGAATTTCGATAATTGGGAGGCTAGTGTCGATAGTTATATATATTTACAACATATTTTACCTGAGGAACAAGTCCTTGTAGCCTTCCATGCCCTGAAGGATGAAGCGGCTAGTTTTGCCAGGTCCCTTGCACGAGCAGCCAGTTGTGAGAACAACATGGTTGCATATTCCAAAATTCCCCCCCTTCCTCATTTCCTCAAACTCCTGAGAGAGAGGTTCGCTGACGTCACGAGAGGCGTCAGGGCCTCTGACAAGCTGCAAACGATCCACTCTAGGTAGTGGAAGAGTGCAAGAGCACTCAAGGCAGTGATGGATGATCTGATAGCCATCCCAGACCACGGGGTCACTGAGACCCAGTTAGTTAACTTATTCTATCGTGCCATGCCAGAGCCCCTGCGAGGGCATTTCTTTGAAAAGACCCAACACGCCAACAGTACGTACGATGCGTTAGGTAGAGAAGTGGTCCTATTCGAGGCGAAATCCATGTCAGTCTCCACTTTCTGGCACAAGGATTTGGATAAAGGTAAAAAGTGGAAAGGACGTACCATCTCGGGTCAGGTTAGGGCCAAGGATCATCTGATCCTTACTTTAGACGAGGGTGGTACTGACGAAGTCCCCTACAGTCAAATTGAGTGGGGGCTCGAGGAGGATGACAGTAGTGTGGGTCAGGGGAGAACGTACGCTGTTGTCGTGGCTGGAGGGAGGCCGCAAGGTGGAGGAGGCGGCCAGGGCCAAGGGGGCCGGGCCACGGGAGGTCGAGGTCCGGGCGCACAGGAGGTTGGCGGCCAAAGGAACCGCCAAGAGGGAGGTAGGGGTCAAGGTCCCCCGCCGAATCGTTCGGGTCCCAGTCGATCCCCACAACGGAGAGGTGGACGATCACCTTAGAGGAGAGGAGGTTGGCACCCAGGTTGGTCAAGGTTGTAGCTGCTACAGTCCTGAAAGGTAAAGGTTGTCGCTGCTACAGTGTCGAAGGGCCAAGTCCACAGACTTCCGGAAGGTCCGAAAGTGGCCCTTTAGATGTTGCTCACAGCAGACCAGAGGCAAGTGGGCAAGTGGTGAGGTCCACCCATGCTGAGTCAGCGGTACCGGTCCCAGTCAGTCATAGTTCAGTCAAGCAAGTACCGTGTGGGACTGTGTGCACCAGGGGCATGGAAAAGGGGCAGACCAACGAGTTACATAAGTATAAATCAAGATGCAGCGCTCAGCCATTTTTTTCATTCCTGCGTAAGCCATGTGGAAGCGCTGCTTGAGCGACTTGTGCGAGGTGGTCTGCAGAACGCCCGAAGACGAAGTGGGCAGAGTAGAGGTTGTGTAGCCATAGCCAGCAGGGTTAAGCGGCCATAGCCGCCGTAGGTGGTGTGCGTGTGTGTGATACAGTGTGTCGCGTGTGGGATATCCAGGGTGATCCTGAGTTGAGTGTATGTGAACAGTGGAGTGGGGCACAGTGACGAACAGAGAGTTGTGCAGGCGCTGATGCGCCTTAGCCTGTTGAAGCGAGCATGTATCTGAACTGTGTTTCCGACTTCCATATCTCTGAGCTTTGAGTGGGCGCTAAGCGCCAGTGTGACTTGCCATCTGTTTGCTTGAATGCGAAGAGGAAAGGAAAGCGAGTCTGATTGCACTTACTTGAAGAAAAAAAAAATGAAAAAATAAAGAAACTGTAATGAAGCTGTCGTGCTGCTGCTACACAGTGTCAAACGGGATTGATCATACCCCTCTATCCGGTCGGTGCCTACCGACTTCACCCGAATAGAACGCCCGGAAATTATAGCTGTATATTGGGGCAACTTTCAGTCTAGATACAGCTATCATGACCGGGCATTCTGTTTGGGTGAAGATGGTAGTGGGACCATGCTCCAATGCAAAGGAACAAATTGAGGGGTTAAAAAAAAAGGGAAGAAACCAGGGAAAGAAAAGGGGAAAAAAAAAACAGAAAATTGAAAAATTTTCCTATGGCGCATGTTTGTCCGATTAGAACATAGCAATGAAATGTGTGTTTATGCGCCTCGCTCCACTACACACCACTCTCCAATGTCTACATGCTGCTCTTGGACGGTCTCCAGACCAGGTGCATTCGGACTAGTCTGACATTTGGAATGCACCTGGTCCCCAAAGCGTCCAAATGCAAGTAGAGTGTTGTGTAGTGGAGAGAGGCCCTAGTTGTGATGACGAGTGAGTAGACTGTAGAGAGAATACTAACCTTATGTATTGGATCAGATATGCGCACCTCCCTCACAGCTTGGGGAGCAAGCGTTCCGGCCAGATGTAATTCTGATGCTCCTCTATCCTCTCCAGCGGGCCTGCAAGCACAGTGAAGATAAGGCCCCAGCCGTTCTTTCCCCCCCCTCCCCCCTATCTACTACAAATCAAATCGTATCTTACTTAGTAGACGGTTGCCTACTAGTCTTTGAGTGAAGAAGCCTCAATCCCGGTGGCTCTCTTACCGCCGCTGGGATAGAGACCTCACGAGAGGGCTTTAAAAAAAAAAAAAAGAAAGAAGAAGAAGATAGGGAGACTTTACGTTCACCCAGAAGAGCCTGAGTCAATCAATTCAATATGTAAATAGCATGCACATGAGGAGCCAGACCCATTATCAGACTGCAATTTTTTTAATAACAAAAATTAAATTATTAGCAACATCCCTGTTTCTAGTCTTTCAAGCCCTTATCTCCTCCCATGTCCTTTTTCGGCGGCATGCTCACTTGTCCTGTCCAATTCACAGTAAGCTGAATGTCCAGAGTGCAGAATTGATTGCACAGGCTCTTCTTATAGGGAGGGAAAAAATCCTGCATTGGACATGCTACCAATGGCAGACAAAGTTGAAAAACCTTATCTAGGATAATACCCCATTAGGAAAAGTTTCTTTTCTTTTTTGCCCAGTTGATGTAGCTCAGTGGTTAGAGCACCGGTTGGAAATGCGCATTGTGGTATGAGGTTGCGGGTTCAAAAACTCAATTGCAGCCTTGCGCATGGACACCGGCAGGGCGTTAGAATGACGCACGGCTGGACACACACTCCTTGGGCTGACGCACGGTAAGCTTATACAGACTCTGCCTGCGCACCACCCAAGGGTTGCCCATGGTGTTGTATGTCGGGTCTTGATACTGCGTGGGTCGCTTGTGGCTGTTGCTCGTGGTTGTTCTGTTGATCTCCCCAGTCTGGCATATCACACACAGGGGCCGTTTGCGATTGTYGCTCAAATGGTAGAGTCTTCAGGTCACATGTCATAGATCACGGGTTCAAGTCTGGCTTGGGACTTTGGGGGGGGTTCTTGTCCAGCTTGGCCTGTCATCTCTTCATACGAACACATAGTTCCCTCTACATAGCACTGCGCATATCTGGCCTTCGGGCACATACATCTCGCTATATAGTTACACAGAGCACACATAGACTGCACATATCTGGCCTTCCGGCATGTACATCTTGCTATACAGTTACACAGAGCACACATAGCCTTCAGGCAGATACAAAACACATCGCCCTATGTGCTCATACAAACATACATAGCCTCTGGGCATACACTCATACACACAACTACGATACTGGGCTGGGGGAGTCTATCAGGTATATGACGGGGTCTACTCACGCATGGCTTAGCTCTAGGGTAGGGGTAGGGATATAAGCCGCTCCGGCTAGTCTGAGCTCCGCCTAGCCTTGGGTAAGCTAGGGGAAGGACGGTAGGATGTGTCCGTGGGCGCTGGCCTGCCTTGCTTAGGTAATCCTGCTGGGTAGACTCTCTGAATTGGGCCTGTAGAAGATTGCATGAGCCTGGCATCCGAAGTTCCCGTACGGCAAGGTTCGTCCGCTTCCGCTTCCATCAAGGCTGGGAGGTTGGCCCAGCCTTGGTGCTTGTCACTGCTGTCTGGTCCAAGTTGCCCTTGATACTGGTAGGGTGATGGTCCTGAGTGCTGGTCACACTGAGGTAGGATAGTAGGGACAGGGGATGCGCTGGGAGTATTAACATGGGGACGGGTAGGGTAGGTGGCCTATCCTGTCAGGACAACCATTGGCTGCCGCTACTAGCAATCACCGCGGGTCTGGTCCTTGGCCTCTACAACACCCTGG